AAAAAAAAAAAAAAAAAAAGAAAAACGCCAATTCTCAATTTTCCTTCCCTTTGTATCTTACACTTAAGCTGATGGAAGGTTGGTTAAGATGGTTTGTTCGAGTTTTAGGAGTTGGACGAAGGGCTGTTTAATGGCAATGTTCTGATAAGTTTTTCAGAGAAAGTTTCCCGAGGAATCGTTTGTAAGAGGAAATGTGGTTTCTCGATGGAACCGTAAGTTGAAAGATTTTTCTTTTAACACGTTTTTCGTATCGTGTAGAGCGAAGAAAAATATCCTTTTGGCAAGAAATATCATCAATTATATAAAATTATATTTTATTTTAATCGTTTTTCTGCGAGTAGAAAAATAAATTTTTATCACAAATATTAAAATTGATCTATAATTTGATATTGCAAAAAAAAAAATGTTTCGTAATTTTATAAAATATGAGGATAATATCTCTTACAGTTAAAAATAAACTGAAGATTGGTGATAAAATTAAATTCAACATTGCTTATTTCTCACCGATTGTAATTTCTCGTTGTAGAATCCAAGAGGAGACGAAATGCGAGGCGACCGAAAAAAACATGGGAGAAAAACAAGAGAAACGAGGAGGGGACCTGTTATTTGGCGGCGTAAGGGAGGAATTTTCATCGTTATTCCAGTCCTCGTCCTTTCGCTATTTGTCATCATAGTTTTATCTCGGTCTTTACTGCCTTCTCCGTGCCTTATGCCGTGTCGTTTCGCAAATAATGCGCCTCCCCCCCTTTTTTTTATGAGTTTGTAGTAAAAATATATGATTCTCCGGTTGTCGATCGATCTTTGCAGAGTATGGATAGAACGACAGTTGCAATAACGTCTATCGAAAAATAAATAGAATAAATTTTAAAAAGGATATTAATTTAGAATATTTAAATTCTAATTATATTTAAAATTAAATATTTAAACAATTTCTTTTTTTGTATTCTGACAATGTAGATGAGAAAGTGTTTGATATATTAAAATAATTATATTATTAAATATATTGGAAGGAAGATCGATATGAATTTAAGAAGAATTTTTTAAAGATTCGCTTGCCCTTTAATATTAAATCTTCGCTTTATCCAACCAATTGTGAAGAGAATTTATCGTGTTTGGCTTAGTCGACTATAATTTAAATTTAGTATCGGCTGATTTATGAATCTGGAGGAAATAAACGGAGTTGTGGCTCGAGAAAGCGTGTATGGGTCGAATGATTAAAAAGGCAGTTGACGAAAATTAATGTATCGTTTTGCTGCGCATTAAAAAGACAGATCGGAAAGAAAAAGTGTATCGCGTTATCGAATAAATTTCTTAACTTAATTTATTTCATTCCATGAATAGGATTTTTTATTTTTCACTGACCAATTAAAAATCAAGAGAAAAAATATTCCTGAAAATCTAATTCTCCACCAGTGATAAACACTCCTATTTATGATAAGTCGCTCGTGTTTCGTAAATACACAGAAAAACTTTGACCACGATATAAAAGGTTCTATGAATAACGGTGGGTCAGTCGTATCACCAACTTCTCAGTTATCTATCCGGAATCGATTCTCCAACGAAATGTTTCATTAAATCTCGTTTATTTTTTTTTTTTATTTTTATTTATTCTTTTGGAAATATTAAAAAATATTTCAGACAAAATTTGAATGGTTTCGATTCAATTATGGCGTAATATAATTATTTTGTTCTTAAGTGGGCACGAATATCGATTTTCCTTTTTTTTTTTAAATAGAATAAAACATTTTTAATGCATATTTAATTATATTCAATATATTCTTCCTTTTTTCACACGATCGTAAAAACAGGCTTATTTGCGTAAACGCGGATCAATCCTTCGATATTCTTGTCACGATCCAGGCTGGCATCCCAATCACTTTGTTACTGTCAGAGAAAGTTTTAACCGGAAATTTTAAATAAACGTCACGTCACGGCTCGAACTTCATTCTCGTTTCCTTATTAAATTCTCAATCGTTTTATCCTTTCGTTGTCATAGATGTCTCTATAATCGTATTCATACTATATTACGTATCGTATTATACTATATCGTATTATACTATATTAAAAATTATAGTAACTCGATTATACGTAGAGAATTCGTTGTATAGCGAAAATAAGTGCGATCAAAATGATTGAACGTTTTATACCTTCGTTATATACCATAAATGATTAAAAATTATTACAAATATACACAAAAACAATAGTGACTCGATTCTATATACGAATATGGAGAATTCCTTGTGTAATAAAAGTAAATACAATGCTCGATCGAAAGTAACTATAAAATACAATTTTACAATTTATAAATAAATAACATTCGTTGTATATTTTCACGGCAGTAATATTCGGCAAAGAACTTGTTTAATTGCATCCAAGTTTCGCGTTATTGCCCGGCTGTTCCAGGTCGAGGAGTTGGTGTGAATCGACGCCACGGAAACGAATCTTGTGCAACGTTTCGGGTCAACAGCTCGTTCGCCTAAAATTGGACCTGAAGATGACGACTCGTTTCCTCGATGAGGGATGGCTGTGAGAACTCGCTAATTGGCCGAACGTGTTCGTTTTTCCAACGACACTCTAATCTCGAGAGATGATAATTAGCGCTAATTTTTCGAGATTAATCATTTCACTCCTCTTGAAAACTTTGCAAGATTCGTTTTATACAGAATGTGTATATAATAATATTTTTATCGATCTAATATATGATGTAATATTATTGACAATCATGCAAAATGGTTATTGATGGATCAACTATTTGTTTTTATTTTTACTTGAATAATCGTATATATATGTAAATATCTATTTTTTTTTTTAAAGTGTAATAAAATAATGCCGTGACAAATTCAATGACCCGGCTACGTAAAATGATTCGAAATAACAGGAAGTTGTAAATTAGCGAAGTCTTCAAATGTCAGGTTAACGTGAATCGTGAATCATATCGACTAGGATATTATTCTACACCAACGCGAAATATTTCGGTTAAAATTGCGAATTTGTGTCATTCTTTCATGATGAATTTATTTACTATTCGATACAAATTCGCGACTTTGATAAATGAAATTCATTTATAGTTCGAATATAATAAATAGAATGTGATAAAAGATCCATTCGAATTTTTTTCTAAACAAATCAATATAAAAAAATTCAAATTATATTTATAATATTTATAAAAATATTTATAAAAAAAAAGAGAATTAAAAAGCATCGATTAAATAGAAATTTTCTTTAATAATACGAATAAAAAATTTTCCATCAACGAATTATATTGGCATTAAAATTTAAATTTTATTAAAATTAGAATTTTTAGTTAAATCCAAAAAAAAAAACATATCTGAGATAAAAATAATTTCGCAAAATATTTATAAAAAAAAAGAGAGTTAAAGAGCATCGATTAAATAAAAATTTTCTTTAATAATACGAATAAAAAATTTTCCATCAACGAATTACAATTGGCATTAAAATTGAAATTTTAAATTTGAATTTTCTTAAAATTAGAATTTTTAGTTAAATCCAAAAAAAAACATATTTGAGATAAAAATAATTTGGAAAAATATAAATAAACGTGGAAAAAATAATCTTGAAAAATCATTGCTCCGATCGAACGAGAAAGATCATGATGGAGAACACGCGTCTTGAATGCAGCGAGTGTGACCCGAGAAAAGTGATGTATCCGGTACAGATGTGACACGAATATTTCCGGATTACCGGCTCTCGATCGTCCAAACCGCCCGAGATTCTTTTTCTTCGATCCCTTTTCTTTCCGCGCTATTTCATTGTCGATGATATTTTTTTCGCTTCAGATCGAAATGAAACAAAAATTAAATATTTTCCTACGTGTTACGGCAATTTCTTTTTCCGTTCATTTTATTCAATCTTTTTTCGTTCACGATGGAATCTCGATAACACAACCGACGTACATTCTGACCTATATCGCGACTCGTCACCAGGATGGAATCTGGCGCAGATTGCTCGATTTCACAAAAATCACTCTCTTATGTACGTTTACATCGTTCATTAATATATTAACAACCAATTTATTAAGGGACTAATTTATATTAAGATCGGAAAGAAATAATTATGTTTCACGTGTCTAAGAAATTTTAAGGTTAACTTTCGTCGCGCGATAAAATTTCATACATTTACACTTGTTAACAAATTAAGAAGAATGAAATATATTAAATTTTATGCCATTTGACATTGAAATTTTTAGAATTTATTATATGGGTCAATATTGTTCATTGCTACGTGATAATTAATTTAATGATGAATATTGACATATCGACGAGATACACGTGAACTTCGACTAAAGAGGAATGGAATACTATCGAACCGCCGTGTGATCGATAGTTGCTATAAGCGATTCTCGATATGATTAATCATTCATTCTAAATCGAAAATTAAGAAATTAACATAATTTTAAGAAATTTTTATTCGTCAATTCTTTTTATTTTTTTACAGAATTACTTCTAAAAAATAGATTATCTTTTTTAAATTATTTAAATAAAAAATAGATTAAAATCGATATTCATGAATCTTGAAATTTTGTATTTTTTTCTTGAAATATGTATTTATCGAGGAGAAAAAAATAAGATAAAAAAACATGTTTTCATTAAATTTATAAAATTGATATGGAATAATAATAAAATTTCGAAATATTCTTTTTCCGTAAAGACAAATGGGTCGAATTTGGCAACAGTCGGTGAGATTACTTTCACAATAACGTCATGAACACGCGATTCACGTTACAGACGTGACCAACATGATTAATAGTTCTCCACGTTCCTTTCAGATGTTTACGCTCGTCTATCGAGCATCAGGCCATAATAATAATATCTACTGATACTATGAGAACGAGAATTTTATGTGAATGAATTTTTAGTATTGGAAACACCAACACCGTTAAAAACGAATGATTATGATAGGTTACCAAAGTCTACGATAAGAGCTATATACTTACATACAAAAGCAAAATTATATATTAATATCATTCTACAATTAATTTTCATAAACATAATATTTTTCTCTATTCAATTTTCTCTATTATTTATTAAATATTTTGTTATCTGTTTTCACGAAAAAGGAATGAAAAGAATATAGAAAAGAACAAGAAGTGAGAAAAAGGAATGAAAAAAAGAAGAAAAGAATACGAATGCGATATAATTAGAAGAAACAACTCAACTGAATGAGAATAATTAACGGAGCAAAAGATCGAAACAGGTTCGTCGAAAGGATGAATGAAAAAATCTTCACTCGAACATGCTGCTTCTCCAACAAGACAGTTTTCTATAAATATTTCGCATCGATGAAACCACGTGCAATGACAAGATATGTAGAAACGATTCGACTCTCGAACGAGCGAGAGCGAGATTAATCGACTCCTAACTGCACATCGAGATATCGGTCGTCGAAAGGGTCGATGTAGAAACATCTTTAGATAATAAATGGAACAACTGTTGATCACGAAACAAAATTTTTAATGTTGCCATATTATTTCTGTAATAAATTGTAAAATCAATTTATAAGAAAATTTGAGAAATATTTATATACATATATTTATACAATTATAATATTTTATTCTTTCTTTTAATCTAATAGTATAAATTTATATCGCTATATGACAGTTACGTTAGAAGATAGATCGTTTCCTTGTTGATTTATCAAGTGGAGGAAATTGACGATTCCCGATAATAGGATTCGTTCTGATTTCTTAGATAGAGAATTAATCTCGACGACCCCGTCGATTAATCAGCCTATTCCACAAACGAACGAACGAAGATAAATTACTTCGCTTCTCAAGTGTCTTCTTTTTTTTTTTACCCTTATGTCATCCTCTATTTTGCTGTTTTCTCTTGCGATCGATATTCGTGGTGAAAATGAAATATCACGATAAAAGAAGATTGAAAAAAAGAGAGAGAAAAAAGAATATAAAAGAAAACAAAAGAAGTGAAAGGAGGAGATCGTGATAAAGAAAAATCACACATAAAAAAAATAAAAAAGAAAAAAAAGATAAAGATCATTGAGATGCAAAAATATCACAAAATATTTAGCATATATAGATCCTCGTAAATGATTGCTCACGAATATTGTTAACACTCTGTATATAAAAATAAGCTAGAATTCGAATATGATATATAATTTCTCATTGTATCCTTGATCTTAAACTATGCTCTATAAAATATCGGCTGTCTGAGTAAAGAAGGATCAACCTCTTGGCTATGTAGGTCGACAAACGTCAACCGTATTTACTTGTACGGATTATACCTTCATACCTTTAAGAGAGATGTTCTCCGCATCTCTAATACCTCCGTTCCTGTATTCTTAGAAACATACATTGTACATTGTGCAATTTCATTTTTATGACGTTCCGGGTTTTTAATGCTCAATGCTATCGATTTTTCTTCTTTTTTTTTATTTCTCCATTTTCTTAGAGAGACTTTTATAGCTAAAGTGAATACATTATAGGCATTATATTTATTTTTGGATATAATACGGCGATTAACATAGAAAAATTAAAAATATAATATTTAAATATGAAATATTCAATGTCTCGACGATTTAATAATATTATAATTTGTTAAAATTTAAATCAATAAGATAATATATATTAATGTAATATATATTTCTTTTTTAGCCATCATATAATTTAAATTATTTCGTAGCCAAATACAACGTGTTAACCTAACCTTTCGCGAGACCGATAAAAACATATATTAATTTAAAATCAACTATTTGATCTGAAAATTTTTGCGAATCATCATTTTATTTTTTTAATTTAATGAAATTTTTGCAATATAAAAATCGTTATTTACTTCTTGAAAATTTTAAATTAAATGTTAAAACAAACAAAAAATACATAGATACAGTATATGTATCTATACAGTATATATACAGTGCAGATATATTTTAGAAAAAATATATGATAAAAAATATCATTGTGAAAAAAAGTTAATAGTTTTATTTAATAGCAATATAATTTATGACACTTTCTATCAAATCAACATTTTCAAGTATTATTTTCTACATAGTTACATATTTCTTTATAATTTTCGATATTCGAATTTGATTCAAATGACGACATTTCAAAATTGATTTCAATTTTAATTCATGCAAATATATTTTTCTTAAATATTTTTACATTTCACTGTTAAATATAATCTTAAAAAAATATAATAATAATTATCTAGTAATTATTTATAAAAGATCTGAAGTAAATAGATTTGATAATAGTAGTAATTGTAATAGCGAAACAACGATTGATTAGAAAAAGATGAAACGAAAATAAATTCGCATATGCAGCGCTGCAAGTCAAACGGACAGACGTATCTAAGTGTATACGCGGAAAATACGGCCAACTTGTCCCGAAGGATACTTTCGGATGGAATCCAGGCCAGAAAAAAGTTCCAATTACTCGTTCGTTTTTCCTCCGCCTTCTACGCGCGACCATATTGTAAATGTCATTTTTTTCATTCTTTTGATCATTCCATAAGTACGATCAAAAAAATAAAATAAATATTAATCATAACAATAATAGTAACATTTCTATTTAAAGCATCGAGTATAAATGAAAAAGAAAAATTAATAATGTCACGTTGTAATAGCAAATCGTTGTTTTGAAACTTGATATTATTTGCGTGAGGCTTAAAATAAAAGGGGTCATTTTAAAAAGAGAAACAAGTCAGAAAAATATGTTTTAATTTTGACAGATAGTTTTCATACTTCATTTCATTCATAGTTTTGAATAATTGGCGCTTCTTGACAGATCACGTGGTAATTGTTTTATGTATTCAAATCTAATGTTTGATGATAAATAGTTATCAATAATAAATTTTATAAAATATATATAAATATAAAATTAAGAAATTTTAAATCGCCATATGAATCATTTAAAATGTTAATGTCTCAAGGTTTCTGGTGTCTCATCCAATATCAAACCTTTCAAACTCTCAAGGCAAAAGTTCGAAGGACCTCCGTGCGACCGTAGTGCTCGAAAAGCCGCGCGCGCAAAGGAAACAACAAAAAAGGAAACAAGAAACGAGAAACACGATCTCAAGTATATCAATAGAATTTGATATATTTTGAAGTATTTTGTCAAAATATTATAATATAATAAATGAAAAGAAATGAACATATGTATATATTTTTACTCACAGTTTCGTAAGATTGACGATGGATGGAAGTGTAATGATATCGAGAGGCTCCAAGATGGACAAAAAACCAGCTCCGCGGCAAGAAATCTCCTTTCCGTCGGCAGTAATATTGCAAGATTCTAGGAGACCGGGTCCACTGAAGGAACCCGGCTGTTCCTCGGCGGAGCAAATCCGGCAGAGGAACATCGCCAAAATGACAGTACCGCGGCAGAACTGTGTGCACATGCCGGTCAGGCTTATTAGGCTTTTCTTCCTTCCTTCTGCCGGAGTCGCCGCGCCCAGGAAACGTTTCACTTCACCACATTATACTTATATCAGATACACATCAGGATCCTGAATCCTTTGACAAACGAAAAGATGAACACACGAGATGGCATATAGAAAGGAACGCGTGGCCTGTTAAGGAGCTTATAAGCTCACGAAACGAGCAACGCACGCGCTCACTTTCCTTTTAACGCGGTTTCAACAGCAGACGTATACAATACGACATACGTTTACCAACTGACAGTGTAACTATATATGCAATAGCAGTAACTGCACCAATTCCCCCTCTTTCACGCAGCCTTATCCCTACTATTGCCATATTCATAGCTTTGAACCAATCAACTTTCTCCGTAAAAACGCCACTACCGATGCACTTCTTAGTATAATATACCGCGACATCAGTGCATCGATGATATATCCCGTACATAGAGATCCATAATATTTTCGATCGATTTTATGATTTTTATTTTATTTTTTAAGACAATGTTTGTAACACGATGATTGAATGATATTTTGATAATTGGATATTAACTTTGATAAAAAAAACAAATTTGTATGTTCATTTTTGAGAGATTAATTGATTTTGAATTTGAAGATTGCTAAAAATATATTGAAGAATATTATATTTGTAAAAATATATTTTATATATTCTTTGTTTATTATAAAAGATTTAAAATTAATTTTGAAATTAGAAATTAAAATTAAATTAAATAATATAAAAACTTATTAATTATCGAAAAATAAAATACAAATAAATGCAAACAATATTATAAGTTTTAAATAACATCTATTAATTATAAAATGATTATGGATACAATTATATTTTTTTTAATAATTTTTGTTTATATTTCATATTTTTTTTATTAATTTTTTATAATGTAATAATTTATTTTTTGTTCTTTAATTATTTATTTAAGATTTATAAAAAATGTATTGAAATTGTATATTCTCTGCATGCTATATATTAAAACACAAAATGATATCAATCGATAATTCCAATTAGATTTCTTTCATTTACAATTTTTAAAAGATTTATAATAATCAATAATACACATAGATATATATATTTTTTTTAAACACAAATATTAATTTTCATAATTTTTTAACTATTAATTCAACATTATTATTTGATAATGAGAAGCATATGGATAACAGTTGAAAAAAATATATAATTGATTATATATAAAAAAATAACTTAATATATGTATGAATTTTTGAGATAATGAATACATTTCAATTTATTTTTAAGATTACGTAATAGCGAAAATGTCAAAATATAAATAAGAAAAAAATTATAACATCTATGTCTATATCTTCATTTACAAATAGAATTATTTATACAAAATACGCAGCTAATTGTGCCATTTTATCCTTTGGAGGACGAGGTTTACCTCGGCTGCGACCTTTTGCGTGGCCACGGCTACGAGTTGTAACGGGTTTCGAAGCGACTGCACGATGCTTTTCTACAAGAGCCATGAAAGCTGGAGTACAAAAGACGCAACCAGTCATTTCCGTACTTTCATTAGGTAACTTAGTTTTTTCCTACAATTAAAGAAAAACGAAAGTTTTATAATATTTAGTTTTATAATATTTAGTTTTATAATATTTATATTTTGAACATAAATAATTTTCTTAATTACCTGTTTATATTCTACAGTAACTAATTGAGCTCCACACTCGCACACTTCTGTATCGACTGTCACTTTATGAGCATTTTCGAATAAATGAATAATAACATCACAACGATTACACCCAAGTTTCCATTTAGGTGCAGCTGAAGGGTCAAGGACGAGTATACCAGCATTACATTCTAGACAACTCGATATGCCATTAGAATTCATACCATGTGGACAAGTCGGATGTGTGCAAGAATTGCAACCACTTATTCCTTTTTTCATATCTCTAAAATTTATAATTTATTTTTATAATTAAGATTTTTATGTTTTAAAATTGTTTTAAAATACATTTATATAATTAGAATTACCTAAATGGAGGATTATTATAACAATATGGACAGAATGTGAAACTTTTTCCTCGTGCTCCAGTAGACCATGACAACAATTCGAAATCATCTAATGGACATTTCAATTCCTTATAAATTCGAATGTTTCCATTCTGTGGAAGATTATACGTTTCGTTACAATGTGCACAATGCATTCTAGATGGCTTTGTTTGTATATATTTCATGTAGCGTCGACATTTTCCACATCTATATAAAAAATATTATCAATAAAAGAAAAAAATAAATATTTATAAATAAGATAAATATTTAAAATAATATTTAAGATAAATTGTTATATATGTTTAATTATATACCTAGAATGTGCTTTTCCCGACGCAGAAAGAGGAGAAAAGGAAACTTCAAATAATTGATCCATTGCTTCTATATTTTTTACAAAATAATGAAATTTTTGTTTGAAAATTTCAACTGTATGTTGTAACACAGCATGAAAATCTGCTCGACCTAGAGCTATTAAATTTAATTGTTCTTCTACTGCAGATCTCATTGTAGGTAGAACTAATTCAGGATCTATCTAATATTAATAGAAAATTATCACATGAAATAAATGTTTTTTATATATGTAAAAACAAATATGTACCTTTTGATATCCATGAACTAACACAATTCCTAAAGAAGTAGGAACTAATTTTCTACCAGTTGCTACATTAACATAATTTCGCATACATATATTATTTATGTGTACTGGAATAGAGGCATCAGTTCCAATACCATGTTTCTCCATAAGAGATATTAATTCAGATTCTGTCAAATAATCTGGAGGCTGTGTATAACATTCAACTAACTTTATCTACAAAAGAAATAAAATATAGTTATCAATTAATCAATTAAAAATTTTCATTTTACATTTTATACATTTACAACCTCTTGTATGTTGACTTTTTCACCCGGTGTAAATCTTGGTAAATTATCATTACTTCCAAGTGCTTGCCATGTGAGTATGCTAGTATATCCAGGATCTAATAAACTATGACCATTTGCTGTGAATATTTCCATTCCTATTTCAAATTTAATTGTAGTACTCAAATATTTACAGTCGTGAGCCAGCTACAAAATAAGTTTTCTAAAATAAATGAAAATCTATATATTAAAATATATGATAAATAATATTTATACCGTTGCAATAAAGTGTCGAGTTATGTAATCATATAATCTCCATGTATCCCCATCGAGTTCATTTCGTGTAGCATGTTTCATTGGAGTAATAGGAGGATGATCTCCAACATTGCATCCTTTTTTTGGTCTATTAATGCCAGTCGTTAATATCTTACGAACTTGATCTCCCCAATCAGGATTATTCTGCTGTTGTTTTAATGCTGCACTAAATATAAATAATTTTACATATATTAATTTTATATAAATTTGAAAAAATCCAAATTTTGAATATTTATTAACTTACAGCAAATCGAAATTTTCTGGATATAATGTTGTTTCAGTTCGAGGATAACTTATATATCCTTGAGTATAAAGACGTTCTGCAATCTGCATGGCATGATGAGGACCCATTCCTAAACCTGAACTTGCTACTCTCATTAACTCTACCGTATTTAAAGCTATAGGTCGTGATTTTGTTTTTTCTGTACTTTCTACACTTATTATCCTATAATTGTTAATAATGTAAATATAATCATATAATTATAACACATTTAAAATAAATAATTAATTTTAAATAATTAAATATAAATATAACTTTATAACTTACATTGCTTGATCATATTCTTTTACATGACTTAGAAACATATTTGCTATCTCCTTGTCAAAAGATCGCACACGAGTCCAGTTCAAAATAATGTCTTGACCATCAGAAGATTTAACTGTAACCTTCAATGCATTCGAGTTTATCTTCTTCCTCTTACTGAATCATAGAGGGATTATATTCTGACATATAAGAGGTAGCTACATGTCAAGATAAAATATAATTATTCTAATAATAATAAATTATACCTGTAAAACCCAATAAGGATCTGGCTTGAATGTTTGAATCTCATCATGTCTTTGCACACAAAATCCTAATGTTGGTGTTTGACAAGGACCATAAGAAATTAGAGATACATCTAAATCTCCATATTTACCCTATAGATGAAAAAAAATATTATTAAATTAATAAATTTAAAATAAATTAATATAATTAATAAATTAATATAATAAAAATAGAACAAATTTTTTTTTAATGATTCTACCTGAAAAAATTTTGTTTGGAATCTTGTGAAAGCACAACCAATTCGTAAATCCAATTCTTGACGAGCATCAACACTTTTTGCTTCATTTTCATTTGGTTTTATTAAATTTACCAATGCAGATTTTATATCCTTTTCTGTAATAGCAGAAAATCTTGCCCTCCAAATATCCTATAATAAATATAAAACTCAAAATCCATAAAAATCATTAAATAAATTTTTTTATTAATTAAATAAGATAATGTAAAGAATTAAAATAAAATTATAAGAAACTTACATTTGGATTTAATCTTTTGTTCATTCCTTGCTGAACTGCATATATAACTTCAAAACAAATATTTTCACCTTCTTTATCACAATCAAGCCAAAGAACTAAATAATCACAATGTGCTCCTTCCTTAGCTAAAAAGTATGGTATTTTTAATCTAGGAACTGCTTCTTTTTTTTCAGTTGGACATGAAAATAACTCTGCCTTAAATATAACAAAAAATACATGATAAATGCATGACAAAAAATATATTAAAAATATATAATAAAAGTATGATAAAATTATAAGATAATATAAGATTATAAGATAACTTACAGGATCAACTTTATCCCAATTATTATACTTTCCAATAAAATCTAAAGTCATAACATGACCAAATACAGAAGTCATTTTAAAGTTTACAGTTTCTGATCTAAACTGTCCTATCCATTCATGCACTGAACACGATCCATTTAAACCTGAAATGTTTTTTTTATTAAAATATGCATTATAAAACATAAATAATAAATAAATTATTAAATATATTTAATATTTTTCATTTAAAACTCATAAAATTATATGTGCATTAAATTTCATAAAAATCTAACCTACCTTTTCGTGAAGTGCATCGACCGTTACTTAAAATATTGGCTAACGAAGCTGCCAATGATGGCTTTTCAGCCACCATCAAAGCTGTCTTCATTTTTATAAAAATGTTTATTTATATATTTTGATTTTTTATATAAAGAAATATTAATTTCTACTAAGAAAATCTATATAAATCTATATATTGAAGAAGGTAACTATCGGATACGTATGACATATCCTGCATTCCAAAATATTTAAGAAGCTATTAAATTATTTTATAATTTAATTCTTAATGTTTATTTTTATTATTATTATTTTTTAATTGTAAAAGAGATTTTGAGTTTGGTTTTAAAACAAACATTACTTATAATAATAAACATAAGCAAATTCACTTTTTTGATATAATGCCAGTAAAGTTACCAACACAACAAGTTTAGATTTCTATCTGTAAATGATTTTATTCATTTCTTTATGAAAAAATTTAATTTGATTGATTGTAGACAGAATTTTATCAAAGAAAATAAATTATATTTTACAGATAAGTTTCTACGAAAAATCTCCATTCATATTTAATAATTTTTTATGGATAATAATTAAGAATAAATTGTTTTGAAAAATTCAATAAATTACTAGAAATGTTATTGAAATAATTAAAAACTTTGTTGTAATTGTCAAATTAATATTTTAAAATCAATTTTATAAATTGTATTTTAACGTATATTATTTACATATGTATATATATTCTTAATTTTGATATCGTTGCAACTGACAAGTATTTTATAAATCTTGTTATAGTATTATGGTATTATGATAAGATCGTATCGTATTTTCTATTTTAACAAAAA